TACCATTGTTGTCAGGAACGACTTTCCATTATCCCAAAAATAATCAAGGTAAGCCGAAGTCTCAAAATTAAAGTCGTCGTCTTGAATGTCGTCAAGAGTTGGCATGAATAAAGCCCTATTGTTCCAAGCATTAAAATAGGTTGCATGCTTCTCAACCCAATTAACATTTTCTTTACGACGACCATCAAATCTATGCAGGTCGTCATGCGTCTCAACCCAATTCACCTGACGACGACCATCTAAGTTTTGGAGGAGGTCATGATCCCATGGACTCTGCGGAATAGATTGGTGGAAGTGGAATTGCCTCAACACTCTATCCCAAAATTGGATCTCAACAAAAGCAAAATTGATAAATGGTGTAACAGCACACCAATACTGAAACCCATCTAAAATATCGTGCAGTATCAACGCAAGTATTTCTTCATTCATGTATGGTCTCCAATTAAACTGTAAAATTACAAAACAATAAAATTTATTTAAATCAAATAATATAGTTAATTTAAATAATAATTAAAAATAACATATTATACATACCTTCTTTTTGGCCTTAATGTCGATCTTCAGCCTGAACTCTTTAATGTTGTTGTGCACCAACCCCGTGCCTTCAATTTTATGCCTCCATTTGTATATCAATCAAAACAAAAATATGACCATTTTGTTTAATAATTTTAATCAAAATAAATATTTTATAATTAATATTTTATATTAAAATAGAGGATCCATATTACCTTCTGGCAAGTGGAAAGTCAACTGCAGTCCGACTAATCAGTGTCAAAAACGGAAGTCTATGCCAAGCCCATGATTATAGCAGCAACAGACATCCACCGATTTCTGCTGTATTATTATCATTCACGACTAATGACGCCTTGCACATCTCACGGTACAAGAACGCTAAAATCACCGATCCCCAGCTATATTGCCTACTATGCTCAAAATTTCTTAAAAAAGAATATATTGAGTGTGAACATAACTATTAGATTTATCAGACATCAAATTTCCCCCAATCAAGTGTAATATATATGCTCGTGTTGCATATATAATTTTGTGCTCCGTACTATTTGGTTGAAGCTGAAAATCATTCTTCAACCATGACAATCTCACACGCCACCCTCTACACTCTGGTGGTACGGGCGCTTTCCCAAGAAACAAGCTGCAAAGTTGTGCCACATTTTTAAACTCATGTGACATTACCACCGGCATCCCATTTGTTTGGACCCCGAGTTGTATTGCCACATCCTCCAAAGTTATCGTATATTCACCACACGGCAAATGAAACGTGTGCGTTTCTGGTCTCTAACGTTCAATTAACGCACTGATCAAACCTGGGACCAACTTGTAATCTCGCACAAATGTTACATACCAAAATCAAGCCTCTTGCAAGTTTTCTTCGATCAATGGGTGTGGCTTGGGCACTTTATATAGCCGAAGACGAATGACTCGCTGCTCGTCCTCCTGCAATTAAATATTTCAAAAAATTTATCACAATCATAAAATAATATTCAAATATTTATTAATTATAATTCATTAAACAAATATTTTATTCACTATTATTCCCAAATGACTTGAAAATATGTTCATTGTCAAGTCTCAACAGTGGAATTTGGTCAGCTATTGGAATGAATCTGTAAAAAAAATTAAACAACAATATTTAAAAAATCATTTAATATAATCTAATATAAATTAACTAACTAACTAATTTATAACACAAAAAAAAAATTTAATATAATAACTTATAATATATTAAACTAATAAACTAACAAACTAAATTTTTTAAAAATATAAGTTAAACGTAAAATTTCCCTTAAACAACTAATAAATTATTCTTTAATATAACTTTAACTATTCTTTAATATAACTTTAACTAATAAACTATTCTTTAATATAACTTAAACTAATAAATGATTTTTAATTATAATTTACTACTAAAAAACTAATTAACTAAATTTTTTATATAATATAAATTCAACAAACAAATATAACTTAACTATTTAACTAACACAAACTAATTACATATTTTTTATATATAACTAACGACTAACAAACTAACTAATTATTTTTATTAATATGTAACTTTCAAACATACTGATTAAATAATTTTTTATTTCTATATGATATAACTTAAACTAACAATAATATAATTTAAACTAACAAACTCATTATCTAATTTTTTGTTTTACCCTAATTTATAATAATAAACTAATTAAGTAATAATTTATAACAATAAACTAATTTAAATAATTATTCTTTTATATAACTTAAACTAATAAACTGTTTTTTTATTATAATTAAACTTAAACTACTAATAAACTAATTAACTAATTTTTTTATATAATATAAATTCAACAACCAAAATATATATAACTTAACTATTTAACTAACTACAAATAATTAAATATTAGACTAACTAACACACTAATTAATTATTTTTTTAATATATAACCATCAAACAAACTAATTAAATAATTTTATATTTATGTATGATATAACTTAAACTAACAATAATAAAACTTAAGCTGACAAACTAATTAACTAAAATTTTGTTTTACCTTAAACTAACTAACTAATTAACTAAAATTTTGTTTTACCTTAAACCATAAACTAACAAACTAATAATTTAAAATAATAAACTAATTTAAATAATTAAAAAACTTACCTCGATGTTGTGCTATCCCTTTCTTTTTCTTCCTCTTTTCCCTTTCTTCTTCTTCCTCTTTTCCCTTGCTCTCTTATCCCTTTCTTTCTTTTATGTTTCACTCATTAACCCCCCATCCAATATATAATACAACCACCCACCTCGTCTGCTTCAATTATTCACCCTCAAATTCTCATTCACGTGAGCTGAAGGACTGCAATAAGGGCTGCAATAATGCAGCTGAATTCACGCTGATAGGAGCAGAGGCGCAGCGAGAGCAGAACATAGGCATGCATGGCGACCTATCCCATGCCACGCATGGCCCATGCAAAGCACCAAAGCAGAGCAGCTGGAATCACAACGTCGGTCGCCGGGCGTGCATGGCGACCTTGTAGGTCGCTGGGAGTGCATGGCGACCTGTGTTGGGGGGTGTTGGGGAATTGGGGACGTTCATGGCACATGCAGAAGTCCATTATCTCTGTGCAGCTCGCCGGGAAGCCATGGCGGCGTAGTAGGTCGCCAGGAAGGCATGGCGACCTACGACCAACTATAGATTTCACCCTATTTCAACAAATAATATGGGGAATGCATTATCTCGTGAATTATTTATTTTGAAAGCTTTATATCGTGAGTTTTTCCGCATGCACCATGCATGCATAGGTAGCAACTGACAATAAAACCATGCAAGTGTAAAGGACTCAAAAAGAAACTAATTCTCACTAATTAGATGCAAGTGTGAGATATGACCTGCGGCGATGGAACCCCTCCAGCATCTTTTTGGGAACATCTCTTTGATAAACGACTAATCGTTTATTTATAGGTCCAGAGACGCATTAATCGTTTGCTGATGTGTATCTTCACTTGAAACATCTCTTTGAGATGGAAAAGTTGGGCTTGCAAATCCAACATCCTCCCGGAATATTGGTGACCCTGTACCCGATGCGAAGGGATCACCTCCACTAGACACAGAGAAGTCTGAAACCCTAGGAGCAGATCCCTTGTTTGCAAACCTATCGTCAAACATTTGATCACTTAACCGACCGGGACTGTAGACAAAACTAGAAGCTTTCCTCATATAATGCCCTCGATCTGAACCAGGCTTCCTAGAAAGTGCAGCACCCACTTGTTTCCCGTAACGCCGATCTTCATATTGATAGTCATATGGTGGGAAATCTTCGAAAAAAGTGACCATACCAGTATCGGATACATAGTCGAATCCAATGATCACACCCAAGTTCGAGTAACATACATCCCGAAACCAGCTGATTTACCATCTTCAAAAACACCATTAATGGATGCAATGCATTCAAGAATCAAGAAAACCCAATTTGGGTTTTCAAACCAGCTGATTTACCATCTAATTAAATTAAATTAAATAAATATTTATTTTTTATTAATATAGATTAATTGAATTTTATTTGAAAAATATCAACTAATCAAGTTCTTTTAATTTATGGTTAAATATTTGTTGCTGTGATAACATCTAATTAGTTAACAAAATAAGATGAAAATTTTAAAAAATTAAAAATCATAAAATAAATTAATAAGAATCTCAGTGATTATAAAAATATTAAAAAAAATAAAATAGGAAAATTTAATAGCCAAATGTAGGAGAGTCAAGCTTTTAATTTTTTTAAACTCATTCAAATTGATCTTGAAAATATTTTTGTCTATCAAAACTTAACCCAAAAATTTAAATTCAACTATGACCTAACTTAATTTATATAATTTTTATTTTTTACATAATTTTTTATTAAACGATTAAATTAAGAAAGTAAATGAACTAAAAATAAAAGGGTAAAAATTAAAAGAACAATGAAAATAAATTGGACATAAAGATATTTTTTGTCAAAAAAGGTATGTGTGAATGGATGAGACGTTGCACGAACTAAGCCGTTAAAGGATAGTTGTTATCCTTGGAAGTTTCAAGTTCGAGCATGATGCTTATACAGTTATTTGAGCGATCATTGCTAATTGTTTGACAGTATTTCTATCATATAAATATATTCTTCGCAATATCCGACACTAAATCGGATCGACATTCAACGATTTTCATCAAACAAAGATGTTCATTAAAGAGAATGTCAAAAACTATTGTACTATTTTAGTTTAGACTAGTAGGATTCCATACAAGGTACAAGATACTTGGGGTGGAAAAACCCTACCATTGCAAGCAAATATGCTAAGCAATTTGAGCAGAGACGATAGTTTTCTCCACCACGGTACCACGCCAAGCTCCGTGTGTTGTCTACATCGACAAAAGACACGAAAAGAGATAAGCGAGCTTCATCACACTTTATAAGAAGGGTTCGATGGTAGTTGTAACGACGTTAATGCTATACATAGAAAGAGAGAGCTACCATTATATCAGTCGGCTTGGCGCTTGAAAATGAGAGACCACTTGCTATCCAGTTCTATATTCTGCAACTAATGTAATAAACTTACAACAATGCATACAAACAAAAAGAATATGGCGGCCTTCAGCTTTGTCGGGGGTGATCAAGATGGAGGGATATACTTGAGATGTTGCTCGTAGAAGTTGATTAACTGAAATGGCACGAAAAGAGAGAAAAAAAGGAGCTTGAATTGTCAGCTCTTGGAGCCAGTTCTGATTGAGGAAAAGATTGGGGAAGAAGATGATCCATTACCATCAGTGGGTTGTTAGCTTTAAGATATTGGTTGTCCACCATGACCTCTTTTCTATCAGACCTGCCAAAAACGAGCCAAAAACAAAATTCGAGTACTGTCAGACAATACGATCATATATAAGATCAGCCACGCGTCTCTTCCGATTAACATCAAAATGCGAAACCTAGAAATTTGAGTATTCTAACGGTTCATGTCACAAGATTAGTTACTTTGTCAGGGGGCACTAGTGATAACAACATCGACATCTCATAATATAAAATTATCGGTAGTGAGAAAAGCTTCTTAAATTTACTAACGTAGAAAATTCCCCCTAGCCAAAAAGATCAGCCGCAATCAGGTCATACATACTCGACGTCTCCTATTTGAAGTTAAGACTTAAAGTAAGCATCACCCTCGGATCAAGATAATATCTCGATCAATCTGCAATTTGATTCCTGTAAGACAAGTCCACAACATGCTGTATAAATTATATTCAAACATAGCAATGTTCCAAGCAAAAGTTTTATTTAGTTTATCTGGTAAAAGGTCGCCCTGCTTTCCACTGCAATAGGTTTCGAGGTTTAGAAGACAAAAGCACAGATAATACTTTCCATATAAAAAGGTAGCAACGAACCTGAGTGCCAAGAACGTTACAGAGACATCTTGATTGTTGTCTGATATGGAAGCTGAAAATTCTACAGGCTTGATGATCTTGATTACAACGGGTACATTTACAGAACTATCAATCGGGGGCCTATGACTCAAACTGTCTGCTGTTAAACCAAGATTAACCATTTCCATATCTGCATCTGTAATTGCATAGCCAATGTGGATGGCATTTTGAGTCAAATTAGGTCCGGAAGAAGCTGAATCCTGTTTAAACCTCTTAACAGAACTAGGCTTCCTCCTTTTAGCTCCTGTACGACGATCACTTGGAACTGATTCCCCAACCCTTGGTAGCCCGTTGACAGGACCATCACCTTCAGAAGCCTTGACTTCTTGGAACCGTACCGCAAGCTTATCCGCATTGGCCCCTTTGGAAGATGCTGCGCCTTTTAGGTCGCTAAGCTTGGTATCATAATCATCTTTCTTCCCGTCAACTTTCTTTGAACCCATTGCGGAACTGTTTTCCTTAACTCTCTTAGATCTTTTGACATTGTTGCCGTTTCCATTACGCTCTCCCTCACGTACCGACACTGTAACTGTACTTGAAGCAGAAAGATCGGCAATACCAGAATCGTCAATGGGAACCAAGGGAGGCTTATCAATAACACTAACTTCGAGACCAGTTGCATTATATGTAGCGATAGAGGAACTCGTCTGCTTCTTCTTGGACTGTGTCTGAAGACCACCATGCTTGCGTTTGCGCTTTCGACCCTGCTTCCCTGAATGCAAGCTTCAAACCAGAAAGGAAACTAAGCAAATACATACAGAAAAGACGAAACGATTTCGCACACCTTATTCACTTAACAGTTTAAGAGACACAAAAGGAAATGAAGATCAGAATGTTACATCCCCAATTTATACACTTTTCCTTGCCCTAAAAATAGAAGACACAACTAAACTTGACCAAATAGTTATCACAAACTAAACAAATTCAACCATTTGCCACATATCAAAGGGTTCAATAACACTAATTAATAACTTAACGATAAAGCCAAATTCAGCTACTAAATCGAAGACTCTCGGTCTAATTAATACAAAACAACGATAACGAATAAATGCATTCGAATATAGGAAGCAAATGAAAGCTTACCTTGCCTCAAATGCATCTATAACATCAGAACATGACTGTAGATTCTCCAATGGCTCCCATGTATTCGCAGTTTCCGGCCATCCGCGCCTTAAAAACACGATAACAATCACCCGAAATCGATTACTTGGTTTACCATTTTATTAAGGGAACATCTCATACAGTCAAGTGAGATGGAATAAGGGTACTCACCATTTGATTAGATACTGAAGCTGGCCCTATCATACACTAACAAACTCATAATTAGATAAAAGCAAACAAGTGAAACTAAAAAACAAGTCTAAATTTTGAATAAAAAAAAACCCTTTCAGCTGTCTGTTTGGCTCAAAAGAAAATTCAACCGAGAAAAAAAAAAGGTATTGAAGAAGAAAAAATAACCTTTCGAACCCTTTTGCGGCGAATTGCTTCAATCTCAAAGAACCCATCATCAAGCTTAGTCCTCTCTTCATCTTTCCTCTCACCATCTTCTTCTTCCTCTTCTTCGTCTTCTTCTTCTTCGTTATCATCTTCCTCCCCGTGATCCTCTTCTTCTCCATCTCCCTCCACCCTTTTCTCCCCAAGTCGTTCATTTTCAACCATTTCATCTCCAGTCCCTTCACTTTTCTTCTCTTTCTCATCACCCCCGCTTCCTCCTTCCTCACTCTGAGATACCCTTTTCCTTCCTTTCATTTCTAAAACCAAAACCCAAAATCCCAAATGAAAAAAATTTGAAACAATCCCCAAGGTTTTTCTTTTTGTTTTCCCTCTCTCTCTTGCAATGAATTTTGAGCTGGAAGCAAAAAAATATTTAGAATTAAAAAGGATTTTCTTTTTGGGCGAATATGGACCCGAATTGAATTATTGGATAAATTACATATTTAGTATCTAAATTATCAGTTGTAATCTTTTTAGTACTTAAACTTTTAATTATTTTTAAAATCATACTTAAAGTTTAGTTTTTATTTCATTTTAGTATCTGCAGAGAAAAATTTTAGGGTCCATTTAATTTTAGAAAATATTTTCTATTTTTATTTTCAGAAAATAGTTTTCATTTTTAATTTTTTGAAAATTAGAAAACATGTTTAGATAATATAAATGAAAACTTGAATTCAAAAATAAAAATAATAAAAATATATTTGATATGTAATTTCTTAAAATAGAGATGAACAAATAATTAAATTAAATTAAAATTATTAAAAAAAAATTACATTACATAAAATTAACATGCGAGTTATGCAATATAAAACAATAAAATTGATAAAAAAAATTCATAACACAAAATTTATTTTAGTTCATAGTAAGAATATAATGTTAATGCATATTCAGTATCAATTAAATTAAAAATATAAACAAAAGTATATTGTTGTAAGCAAGAGAACACAAAAATGTCATTAAAATTAAAAATATATTTAGTGATATTTAAGGCCCTCAAATTTTTTGGTGAAAAAAACTAGTGGAACCCCATAACTTTTTTACACTAAATGTGACCCCTAAACTGAAAAAAATATAACATTCTGACCAATTGAATGAAACGTTGATCGTAACAATGCTTACATGACAATTCACAAAGCTTGCATGACAATCTAGAATGTTGATGTAATAGTTCATGATACTATCGTGACAGTACACGATGGACGATAATATAATAGATGAACTTAATTGATTTTTTAATAAGTTTGAGGACCTAATTAATTTTTTAGAAAGTTTGAGGAATTGTTTAATTTTTAGCAAATTTAAGAAATTGTTTAAATCTATAATCTAAAATATAAAAAAATTTAATATATTAAATATAAAAATACTATAAAAATATTAAAAAAATAATTTAAGGACAACATTGTACGTAAAAAATTTAGGGATCATATTATTTTGTTGCAAAAATTTGAGGGTTTCAGATACCATTAAGTCAAAATATTGTCGTTAGAAGAATTTAATTTGTGTAAGTTAAGTTAAAAGTTTATATCTCATTTTTCATGTTTTTTAAAATTTTTAAAATGATTTTAAGTAAAATACTGAAAATATATTTTTTATGTTTTCATATTTTTCACTTATTTTTATTTTCATTTTCATTTTTCATAAATTATTTTTTAATTTTACAGCCAAATACGTTTTCTTTAACATTTTCTATATTTTGAGAAATTAAAATAGCTTATATTTTCTAAAACCAAACAGACCCTTAGTTTTTGTTTCATTTTAATACTCTATTCAAATTTTAACCTGAATTTTAAAAAAATAAAAGTTTAAGTACTAAAACAGACCAAAACATATAATTTAAGTAATAAATGCGTTAAGTTTTTAATGGTGAAATACTAAAATAAAATGAAAATTAAATATTATGTATGATTTTGAAAATATTGAAAGTTTAAATATAAAATGAATCAAAATTAATAGTTTATGTATTAAATGCGTAATTTATCCTTCTTATTTGAATATATTGCCTTTGCCGCCTTGTTGTTTCCGCCAAAACTTCACTCTTCCTTAAAACTTATCATAGTAAGAAAAAATTGTTTTTATTTAAATAATATCTTTTAAGGATTATTTAATCCATTTTTTAAAGGATTATTACATTATAATAATATTTTTATTACATTTCAATTATGACATTTAGGGATAGATTCGGAGAATGTTAGAGTAAAATTTTAGGGTAAATTACGCATTTAGTATATAAATTATTATTTTTATTCTTTTTTTATAGTAAAGTCATGCCTAATGTTTATTTTTTGTTTAATTTTAGTACCCGCCAATAAAAACTTAATAGACAAGTTCATCGGTCGTCGCGTTTACAGTCGCCGATCGTCGCATCGGTCGATCGATGAAATTCAAACTTTCTAGCCTGTACCTTTTCAACCCCAAATGCGATTTCAACATCTGTTTCACTAGAAAATATCTCAATTTCACTAAATCGACGATGATCTCTTCGATTCCTTCATCCTCCGATCTTTATGGTCCACCATCCGACGATTGACTCGTCATTTTCTCGTGGTCCATCTTTTGGATTAGTCGTCTGTCCACCGAAAATATACCACGTGATCTCGCCCGTTAAGTTTAGTGCTAAAAACGGGTTTCAGCGGAACAAACCAATATCAAACGACGCACCAGCGAAAAACAACGAAATCACAACTAATAAGCAGAGGAATCCCGTTTTTGTTTGAGATATTTGCAAACACTTTCATTCAATATTTCCAGTGGCTTGGTAGTGACCAGAGAAGCCAGTTCTTGAAGCATGTCATCTATCTCACAGTCTACCGACGACTTGACGATGGACGACTGAGCATCTTTCTCGACGATCTGCAACCGGTTACGGTAAAGCTCGAATCCATCGTCTTTGAATCCTCCTTCAATGATTTCGGCTTCCTTCAGCCATTGTTCGTCGTCGATTTTCGTAAACATTTCCTTCATATATTTAGGTCCCGGAGTTCCTATCATTAGTTTTGGATATTTTCCACTTTAATGTGTATGAACGTAACTGAGATTTGAGCGTATATATATGTATACACAGACACAACATTTACATGTTTACTTACCAGGAGGGAATGTGACCTTTATAATAGTCCCGACGCCTTCGATTGTGCCGATAACATCTCGAAGTGGTTCGTTGACAAGTTTTCCGAGCTCAAGGCCACGGTAGACTTCCCATATGACCACTGCCGGAACCTCGACCAGAGAATCTTGTGAGAGATGGCCCTTCATTTCTTAATGTCTCCTACGTACAGTTGAGCTGGCCTATAGAGATGTTCATTTCTTAATGAACATTCTAGGGTAAACTACGCATTTATTACCCTAACTATCAGTCTCGATTCGTTTTAATACTTAAGCTTTCATTCTTTTTAAAATCGCATTTAACGTTTAGTTTTCATTTCATTTTATTACCCGTCTTTGAAAACCTAACGCGTATTGTACCTAAACTATCAGTTTCGGCACCTAAACTTTAATTTTTTTCTCAAAATTTAATGTTAAATTTTGAATGGGATACTAAAATGAAACAAAAACTAAAGTTTTTAAAGGTAGGGTACTAAAATGAAACAAAAACTGAACTTTAGGTATGGTTTTAATTTTTTTTGAATATTTAGATACTAAAACAGACTAAAACTGATAATATAGATACTAAATACATAATTAATCCAACATTCTACGATGTTAATTACAATATTATTTCCACATGTCAATTTTCCTATCAAAGACGTTTTTACCTTATCCTTTTCTAAAAAGTTACTTTTACTTTTACATGAAGGAAAAAATTATCAGGAATGATTATACGATAATATTTCTCAATTTATACCATTAAGTTAAAAAATTATTGTTAGAAGAATTTAATTTGTGTAAGTTAAGTTAAAAGTCTATATCTCATGTTTCATATTTTTTAAAAATTTTAAAATGATTTTAAGTAAAATATTGAAAATATATTTTTTATGTTTTCATACTTTTCATTTATTTTTATTTTTCAGAAATTATTTTTAAATTTTACAGCCAAATATTTTTCTTTAACAATTTCTATATTTTGAGAAATTAAAATAGCTTATACTTTATAATATCAAATGGACTCTTAGTTTTTGTTTCATTTTAATACTCTATTCAAAATTTAACGTGAATTTTTTAAAAAAAATAATAGTTTAAGTACTAAAATGGACCAAAACAGATAATTTAAGTAATAAATGCGTTATGTTTTTAATGGTGAAATACTAAAATAAAATGAAAATTAAATATTATGTATGATTTTGAAAATATTGAAAGTTTAAATATAAAATGAATCAAAATTAATAGTTTATGTATTAAATGCGTAATTTATCCTTCTTATTTGAATATATTGCCTTTGCCGCCTTGTTGTTTCCGCCAAAACTTCACTCTTCCTTAAAACTTATCATAGTAAGAAAAAATTGTTTTTATTTAAATAATATCTTTTAAGGATTATTTAATCCATTTTTTTAAGGATTATTACATTATAATAATATTTTTATTACATTTCAATTATGACATTTAGGGATAGATTCGGAGAATGTTAGAGTAAAATTTTAGGGTAAATTACGCATTTAGTATATAAATTATTATTTTTATTCTTTTTTTATAGTAAAGTCATGCCTAATGTTTATTTTTTGTTTAATTTTAGTACCCGCCAATAAAAACTTAATAGACAAGTTCATCGGTCGTCGCGTTTACAGTCGCCGATCGTCGCATCGGTCGATCGATGAAATTCAAACTTTTTAGCATGTATCTTTTTAACCCCAAACGCGATTTCAACATCTGTTTCACTAGAAAATACCTCAATTTCACTAAATCGACGATGATCTCTTCGATTCCTTCATCCTCCGATCTTTATGGTCCACCATCCGACGATTGACTCGTCATTTTCTCGTGGTCCATCTTTTGGATTAGTCGTCTGTCCACCGAAAATATACCACGTGATCTCGCCCGTTAAGTTTAGTGCTAAAAACGGGTTTCAGCGGAACAAACCAATATCAAACGACGCACCAGCGAAAAACAACGAAATCACAACTAATAAGCAGAGGAATCCCGTTTTTGTTTGAGATATTTGCAAACACTTTCATTCAATATTTCCAGTGGCTTGGTAGTGACCAGAGAAGCCAGTTCTTGAAGCATGTCATCTATCTCACAGTCTACCGACGACTTGACGATGGACGACTGAGCATCTTTCTCGACGATCTGCAACCGGTTACGGTAAAGCTCGAATCCATCGTCTTTGAATCCTCCTTCAATGATTTCGGCTTCCTTCAGCCATTGTTCGTCGTCGATTTTCGTAAACATTTCCTTCATATATTTAGGTCCCGGAGTTCCTATCATTAGTTTTGGATATTTTCCACTTTAATGTGTATGAACGTAACTGAGATTTGAGCGTATATATATGTATACACAGACACAACATTTACATGTTTACTTACCAGGAGGGAATGTGACCTTTATAATAGTCCCGACGCCTTCGATTGTGCCGATAACATCTCGAAGTGGTTCGTTGACAAGTTTTCCGAGCTCAAGGCCACGGTAGACTTCCCATATGACCACTGCCGGAACCTCGACCAGAGAATCTTGTGAGAGATGGCCCTTCATTTCTTAATGTCTCCTACGTACAGTTGAGCTGGCCTATAGAGATGTTCATTTCTTAATGAACATTCTAGGGTAAACTACGCATTTATTACCCTAACTATCAGTCTCGATTCGTTTTAATACTTAAGCTTTCATTCTTTTTAAAATCGCATTTAACGTTTAGTTTTCATTTCATTTTATTACCCGTCTTTGAAAACCTAACGCGTATTGTACCTAAACTATCAGTTTCGGCACCTAAACTTTAATTTTTTTCTCAAAATTTAATGTTAAATTTTGAATGGGATACTAAAATGAAACAAAAACTAAAGTTTTTAAAGGTAGGGTACTAAAATGAAACAAAAACTGAACTTTAGGTATGGTTTTAATTTTTTTTGAATATTTAGATACTAAAACAGACTAAAACTGATAATATAGATACTAAATACATAATTAATCCAACATTCTACGATGTTAATTACAATATTATTTCCACATGTCAATTTTCCTATCAAAGACGTTTTTACCTTATCCTTTTCTAAAAAGTTACTTTTACTTTTACATGAAGGAAAAAATTATCAGGAATGATTATACGATAATATTTCTCAATTTATACCATTAAGTTAAAAAATTATTGTTAGAAGAATTTAATTTGTGTAAGTTAAGTTAAAAGTCTATATCTCATGTTTCATATTTTTTAAAAATTTTAAAATGATTTTAAGTAAAATATTGAAAATATATTTTTTTATGTTTTCATACTTTTCATTTATTTTTATTTTTCAGAAATTATTTTTAAATTTTACAGCCAAATATTTTTCTTTAACAATTTCTATATTTTGAGAAATTAAAATAGCTTATACTTTATAATATCAAATGGACTCTTAGTTTTTGTTTCATTTTAATACTCTATTCAAAATTTAACGTGAATTTTTTAAAAAAAATAATAGTTTAAGTACTAAAATGGACCAAAACAGATAATTTAAGTAATAAATGCGTTATGTTTTTAATGGTGAAATACTAAAATAAAATGAAAATTAAATATTATGTATGATTTTGAAAAAATTGAATGTTTAAATATAAAATGAATCAAAATTAATAGTTTATGTATTAAATGAGTAATTTATCCTTTTTATTTGAATATCTTGCCTTCGCCGCCTTGTTGTTTCCGCCAAAACTTCACTCTTAAAATTTATCATAGTAAGAAAAATTTGTTTTTTATTTAAATAATATCTTTCAAGGATTATTTAATCAATTTTTTTAAGGATTATTACATTATAATTATATTTTTATTACATTTCAATTATGACATTTATGGGCTGTTTGGATAAATGAATGTGGGATTCTCATGGCAATAAAATTAACATTATTATGTTTGGTTGGCTGAGAATTTTATTTCCGGTAATGTTTTATTACTAATAGTAGATTTTTTTGGGGTATATTACGGGGAATGTCATTACATATATTTTCTTAGATATTGTTAGATTACCGGCGTTTTGAACTAAAATGCCTTTAAATTTTCTTTTCCAAAAATATATTTATTCTGTCATTGAATAATAAAAATTCTACGAAGCTTAAATTACAAATTTATCCTTAAACTATTTTAGATTTACAAAAAAATCTATAATTAAAATTTTATATGAAGTTCAGGGGTTAAAATAAAATTTTACCCTTTCATTGAACCTTTTTATATTTTTAATTTTGTAAATATATATATATATAAATTTTATGAATTTAAATTTTTAAAAAATATATATATAAATATTTTCCAAATTGTTATAAAAACAAATATATAAAAAATATAATTTGGTAAAATATACATGTTAATAATCTTTTATTCATTTAACCAAAAACGGTAATCTTACATTCCTGCTAAACCAGCCAAACACAAAATACAACATTCCCTGTAATCCTATTCCCTGGTAATCTTATATTTCACTGCTAATCGTACATTCCGTGAACCGAACGTGCCTTTAGGGAGATTCAGGAGAATGTTAGAGTAAAATTTTAGGATAAATTACGCGTTTAGTATATAAACTATCAATTTTATTCTTTTTTATAGTAAAGTCGTTCCTAAATTTATTTTTTGTTTAATTTTAGTATCCGCCAATAAAAACTTAATAAACAAGTTCATCGGTCGTTGTGTTTACAATCGCCGATCGTCGCATCAGTCGATCGATGAAGTTCAAATTTTCTAGCCCGTACCTTTTCAACCCTAAACGTGATTCCAACCTCTATTTCACCAGAAAACATCTCAATCTCACTAAATCGACGATGAACTCTTCGATTCCTTCATCTTTCGATCTCTATGATCCACCGTCAATGAGTCTGAAATTGTACTATGTTGGTCTACTCATCATCCTCTCGTGGTCCACTGTTCGGATTGATCGTCCGTCCACCGGAGATATGCCACATCATCTCGTCCGTGAAGTTTTAGTGCTGAAAACGGGTTTAAGCGGAACATACCAATATTGTAGTGCCAGAGATCAAGTTCCTTTTAGTGATAATTTAGCATCAAATAGACACAATCAAGGTTCCGGCTCTTCAGTCGAAGAAAATAAATGCGACATTGCCTGTGAAGAAAAGATTTTCCCCGATGATCTGGGCAGCAGCGAAAGGTTCTTTCCAGTGGATTCACATCGTGCAGAAGTACTTCAGTTAGGGGGCAACTCCAAACCATGGCAGGAGCCGTCCGTAAAAGAGGTAGTTCGAGTGCTTAGACATAGTCATGGCTACCGGTATACAAAGAGAACGAAAGCCGACTTCGGATTAGTCCGACATTACATTTTGTTCAAGAATACGATCGACTTATTTGCATGATCTACACGAATAAAACATAACGACGCACCAGCGAAAAACAACGAAATCACAACTAGTAAGCAGAGGAATCCCGTTTTTGTTTGAGATGTTTGCAAACACTTTCATTCAATATTTCCAGTGGCTTGGTAGTGACCAGAGAAGCCAGTTCTTGAAGCATGTCATCTATCTCACAGTCTACCGACGACTTGACGATGGACGACTGAGCATCTTTCTCGACGATCTGCAACCGGTTACGGTAAAGCTCGAATCCAACGTCTTTGAATCCTCCTTCAATGATTTCGGCTTCCTTCAGCCGTTGTTCGTCGTCGATTTTCGTAAACATTTCCTTCATATATTTAGGTCCCGGAGTTCCTATCATTAGTTTTGGATATTTTCCACTTTAATGTGTATGAACGTAACTGAGATTTGAGCGTATATATATATATATATATGTATACACAGACACAACATTTACATGTTTACCTACCAGGATGGAATGTGACCTTTATAATAGTCTCGACGCCTCCGTCACCATGGACAACTTCGACAGTGCCGATAACATCTCGAAGTGGTTCGTTGACAAGTTTTCCGAGCTCAAGGCCACGGTAGACTTCCCATATGACCACTGCCGGAACCTCGACCAGAGAATCTTGTGAGAGATGGCCCTTCATTTCTTAATGTCTCCTACGTACAGTTGAGCTGGCCTATAGAGATGTTCATTTCTTAATGAACATCCTAGGGTAAACTACGCATTTATTACCCAAACTATCAGTCTCGGTTCGTTTTAATACTTAAACTTTCATTCTTTTTAAAATCGTATCTAACGTTTAGTTTTCATTTCATTTTAGTACTCGTCTTTGAAAACCTAACGCGTATTGTACCTAAACTATCAGTTTCGGCACGTAAACTTTAATTTTTTTTCCTCAAAATTTAACATTAAATTTTGAACGGAGTACTAAAATAAAACAAAAATTAAATTTTTTAAAGGTAGGGTACTAAAATGAAACAAAAACTGAACTTTAGGTATGGTTTTATTTTTTTTCTGAATATTTAGATACTAAAACAGACTAAAACTGATAATATAAGTACTAAATACATTATTAATCCAACATTCTACGAGGTTAATTACAATATTATTTCCACATGTCAATTTTCCTATCCAAGACGTTTTTACCTTTGTCGAAACGATTTTTAAACGGGGCGGGGGCGAGATTTTTGAAAACCGCATCATCTTTAGTTATTATCTTTTCAATTGAATTTTTAATTAAAAACGATGCAATTTTAGAAAACCTCTCGTTTCGAAAAATTGGAAATTCCGTTACGGTAAAAATATAAGGTTCGAGGAGTCGCCACCAATCTTTGATTAGGGTGTGATTGGGCACCCAAAAACATTTTGTCATTTTAAATAAAAATTAATTTTAATTAAAACGACAAGTAGAGGTCTGCGTTATCAAAATCTGAGTTCGGGAGTCGATTACGTGTGGGGAAGGATTAGCACCCCCACAACGCCCTAAATCGGTACCTAGTCGATTAATTATTGTCTTTGCAACGAATTTCACAAGTTCGAGCTTAATTTGATTAATGATCCCTTAAAACCATAATAAATGCAAATTTTATAACATTCAAAAAGCAACAAAATAGGTTAAATTAAAATTACCAAGCCATTAGAAAGATAAAGAATATTCGATTATTTACAAATATTGAGACCAGATCTTTAGGTGAGTTCTAACGATCTTTTCTCAAATAATTTAAATAGCCGAATATTTCTTTTTCTTTCATTCCCAAATTTTAAAGTGATTAATCCAAATTTAATTAGGCGTTACTGGTGGGATATACTTTTAATTTAAAATCGTCAAAGCGGATATCTAATCAGTTAAGACAACCACTTAAAACAATTTTAAATTAAAAAGATATTACCCTTAATTAAATTATGTAAATACATCGAGTTATGCACACGAGGTTAACACACGATATTAAAAATTATCTAATTAATAAATAATATATGAAAAACTAACATGCACTAACATTACTTAACATATTAATATGTAACATACTAATGGGACTTAAATACGAAAAAATAAAAACATAACATACCAAACTATACATGTTACACTAAAAACCAAATCACATTAAACCGAATTTTAATATCCAAAATATGAACAAAATAATCATTGAAATGAACATACGAGTAGTACACATAGTAAACAATGAAACCAGAATAAAACAAAACATCACCATAATGGACTAAAATTATAATAAACCCTAAACATACATATGACTAAAAAGAAACATGCAAAACATTCAAAGTCAAAAGTCTAAGAAAACAGAAACTAAGTATATTACCACTCAGGACTAAAATGCAACATGCAGAACACGAGGGTCAAATGTTTAAAACAGTAAAGATTCGACTACAACACTACTTAGGACTAAAATTAAATACGGGTAAAATAAGGAAGCTAAATTAAGGATACGAAAACATCAATTTAAGGACTAAAATGCATGAGTTTGAAAATTTAAATGGCCCATAGGATGAATAACCCCATTCACGAAACGGAAGCTATACCCAAAACGGCGTCGTTTTATGTTTTGCTTATAACCCTACTTAAACTAAAATTAAAACCCTAATTATCATTTCTACCCAGCTCTCAGCCGCAAGGCTCTCTCCTCAAACTCTCTTCATCTTTTCTCCTTCACCGAGAAAACCCACAAAACCAACGCGCTCCCTCTCCCCGACGAACACCATCGAGAGCTTCAAAGCTCTATAACGCCTCTCGCACCACTGGTCACCGGCGAGTCAAACGGGGAACGAAACCTAAACCAAACCCCGAATCTAAAAACAATAGCTTTACCCTAAAACCCACGACCACACCAGGCCGCCGTGGCCTCCGCCCCATAGCCATAAATCGGTGACATTCAGACCCCGATCTCCCTCTAAAGCGACCTAAGATCGACAACAACACAAACGAAGGAAGGTAAGAACTCACCTCACTCTTTACCTTTACTTGCTTTGAAGAGCCCTTAATACGTTTGTTGTATTGCTTCTTCTTGGGTTCCCCTGTCAACTGAGGTTCCAGCTATTCAAAGAGAAGGGCGCTCCAACGGACCCGATATGAGGTCGAAGAGAACCGAGCCACCCAGGTAAGTCCACTTCTTCCTTTTGGTTTCGTTTTGATTTAGAAATGTTCTTTTGAAAATATGTTGTTCTTGTATGTTTCTTCGAATGATGAAAGTAATGCTTGATGATTTTCTGTGTTGCTGTTTTTTCAAAAAATGGATGCAAGAAAAATCGTTTTTATTTCTTTTGGAACTCTATGCTTACACGAACAAAGGGGAGCCCCCTGTTTTTACAATGTTTTCCCAACAGAAAATTCAAGATGGCCAGCAGAAACCCCCTTCTGTTACTATTTTTTCTCCTCTCCGTCCCCCTCCTGTTGTTAATGATCGCCCCTGGTTTTCCGTTTGAGAACCCAGAACCCCCTGCTGTTCGTGATTACTAACCGAGAGCCCTTCCTCTGTTCCTTCTCTCTTTTTTGCCTCCTCTTCTTTGTTACTGCTCTTCTGCTTTAACCCCTTGTTGTTCCTCGTTCCTCGCGTGTTGTAGGTCACGGGTGATGGGGAGCCGAGCTTGTCTGCTCGGGTATGGTCCTGGCAGGAGCTTCTGGGAGTCTCGTTCAGTGGAGCCTGGGCACAGGGTCTTCACGTGTGATGCTCGGTTGCAGTGCTTCACATGGGTGCACAAGTATGTGGGAGCCGAGGAATGCTCGGGCTTGGTGCTCGGATGGGCAGAGGAGCCTCACGTGGGGCTGCTGGTGACCTGTGCAAACAGATCCGGGTTGGGTGCTGCTTGTGGAAACCGAGCTGCTCGGTCATAATGCTGGCAGGGTGATGTCCGGTCAAGCATGGGCTTTCTTGGGAGGCATGATCTGCTGCAGTGGATGAGTGCTTCACATTGGGTGCACGTGGGAGGAGTCTGCTGTTGGGTGTCTCCTTCACGTGGGCAGCAATAGCACCGTGTTAGAGCTGGAAATGGTGCCAAATGGGTCGAGTCTGGTGTAATGGGTTTTCATTTTGAGACTGCTGTTGGACTTGAATCTCGAACTTTCATTTAATTTGGCTTGTAATTGGACTTCAAAGACATAAATGGTCTTTAGACACTTAAATTTGTATTTGGGATTAAATTTCAAATTGTGCCTTAATTTCCAAAACGAACCTATACGACTTAGTCCAATTAAACACCTCAAGCTTTCAAACATAAACTTCCGTGATTTATCTTTTGAAATAATTCATCATCAAGCACAAACATCTTCAACTTAATTCTCGATCGTCTTCAAATGAATTTAAATGGCCCGGACAAAATTAGGGTATTACAGCTGCCCCTCTTTGCTTGTTGTTGTGAACACAAGAACGTGGCAAAGACAAAAAATAACCTAATTTTGTCTGACCGCACCGTCTATTTCCCTTCTTTAGTCTTATTCTTGACTTTCGCCTCTATCTCACGTGAACAAACCCGAGAATATTCGACTTTTTTTTTTTATCCGATGGTTTGCTCCAACATTCTTCTAAGAAAGCTTAAAATGGCTCGGACGACTCATATTGTACTTGGGTGTTTTTGTCCAATTCCATCTTCTTACTTCAAAATTTGATGAGGGATATGCTCCACTCCTCCCCCGGGGTGAGACTTGAAAAATCCTTGGAAAACACGTTCACTCCCTATTCCTTCATGGAGTGGAAACTCGTACAATCTTTTGCCTACGGGTTCGCTCCCTCTTTCTTCAGGGAGTATAGAACTCGAAAATCTTTTGAAAACGTGTCTGCTCCTTATTCCTTCAGAGAGTATGAGACTCGAACAATCTTCAACAATCGGGTCTACTCCCTATTTCTCCAGAGAGTATAAGACTCACAATCTTCATCAATCGCGTCTGCCCCCTATTTCTTCAGAGAGTATAAGACTCGAACAATCTTCAACTATCGTGTCTCCCCCTATATCTTCAGAGAGTATAAGACCCACAATCTTCAACGATCGTGTCTGCTCCCTATTTCTTCAGAGAGTATAAGACCCACAATCTTCAACAAATGGGTTCGCTCCCTATTTCTCTAGGGAGTATGGAACTCTGACATATTCTTCAAACGGGTTCGCTCCCTCCTTCTTTAAGGAGTATAGAACTCGAACATCTTCAAACGGGTTCGCTCATTCTTTCTTTAAGGAGTATAGAACTCGAACATCTTCAAACGGGTTCGCTCCTTCTTTCTTTAAGGAGTATAGAACTCGAACATCTTCAAATGGGTTCGCTCCCTCTTTCTTTAGGGAGTATAGAACTCGAACATCTTTAAACGGGTTCGCTCCTTCTTTCTTTAAGGAGTATAGAACTCGCATATCTTCACACGGGTTCGCTCCCTCTTTCTCTAGGGAGTATGGAACTCAGACATCTCTTCAAACGGGTTCGCTCCTTCTTTCTTTAAGGAGTATGGAACTCGAACATCTTTAAACGGGTTCGCTCCTTCTTTCTTTAAGGAGTATAGAACTCGCATATCTTCACACGGGTTCGATCCTTCTTTCTCTAGGGAGTATGGAACTCGGACATCTTCAAACGGGTTCGCTCCCTCTTTCTCTAGGGAGTATGGAACTCAAATAATCTTCATTTGGTTCACCCCTTTATTGTGAAGGCTTGAGTTTGATTTG